GTTTAATTTTGATAAAAAAAATAATTTAAAATGACGCCTCGAAATAATTAATGAGCTACTAGCTTTCGCCCGCGACTCCGTCCGCGTGGAATTAAAAAATCCAAAAATGAATAGCCTATGTGTCCTTACAGACTATCCTCTACATCTATGCCAAATTTCATCGAGATCCGTTCAGCCGTTTAGGCTACACTCTAACAAACATCCATCCATCTAAACTTTCGCATTTATAATATTAGTAAGATCAGTAAGATAATATAGAAGCTTTTTAATCATATCACAAACTAATACGATTGTTTACTAAGAACTAGTTATACGTATTTTTGAATGTGTCTCAGTATCATTTGCGTGCACAACTAAAGTAATGTTTTTCTTAGCGACTTCCACCGTGTTCCGTGATAAATAATATTTAAAGTGCTAAAAAAAATAACTTCAGGTGGCGAGCTGCAGGAGGCGCGGGAGGCTCTAGCGCGAGCGGACTCCAGCAGTTCGGACTCTGAAGACGAGAGCGGCACCAAGAAGAAGAAGGATCAAGATAAACCTACTGAAGAAGTATGTATTTTTACAATAGAAGACAAATAATCACATTTAAAACCAATTTAGTTTTTACATTTGTACTGATAAATTAGTTTCCAATGATAGTACAGTGTGTTGTCATCCACTTGCCCTTATCCCTTACAGAGGGTCCATACATCCTCTTTCACACAATATATCCATACTTTCTTCGGTCTTCTTCTTCCTTTGTAGCCATCCACAGTCATTCTTAACACTTTCTGGTTTATGTTCCCATCGTTTCGTCGCATAACATGTCCATACCACGCTAACCTTTTGCTTCTCAATTTCTCCACCACTGGCGCTACTTTCAAACTTACTCTAATGTACACATTCTTAATGATGATCTTAAAGATTAGTTGTTCTGGAGATATATAGTAATTAATATCCATCCATCCAAACTTTCACGTTTGTGATATTGCCAAAAGCCCCTCTTCCACAGCAGTAAAACTTGAAAATTAGTCTTCTCCGGTCTTTATGGCTTAAATTGTGCGGTTCGCACCAGGCCAGTACAGTTGTAGCGTTCAATAACTGGCACGAGGTGAACGTTAACTGGTACCAGTGAGGCTATACAATCTATGATTGCAATAGGCAATATGCACATGACGCCAAATTGGACCAACTTTTTTTTAATTATACTTTATTTTCTATATGTATTTATTAAAAAAAATATTTTCTTTTGTCTACAAAAAATAAATAAATAAATAAAATATTGGTAGTGTATATTTTCGAGTAAACATTTTACATATAAAAGGAGGTTTATGTGAATCGAGGAATTATTTCGTTATTTTGTAGTGTATCGTTTTTTTGGGACTATTTTATCTTTCGTGTATTTTGGATTCGTTTTTTGTACATGTTTTTTTAATAATGTTGTACCAGGCCGTGGAGCGCATGGAGGAGCGCCTGGAGCTGGCGCACACGGACCAGAAACGGCTGTTCCTGATCGTGTTCCAGCGCTTCATCATGATCCTGTCGGAGCACCTCGTGCGCTGCGACACGGACGCGCGCGAGCACGACACGCACTGGTACCGCAGCACCGTCGCCCGTCTGAGACATGTCTTCCTCGTCGTGAGTATACCGCCGACAACAACGACAATTACATCAACAACAAGAACAACATCAACAACATCAACAACAACAACGACAATAACAACAATAACATCAACAACAATAACAACAATAACATCAACAACAATAACATCAACAACAACTACAATAACAACTAGAATAAGAACAATAACATCAACGATAACAACAACGACAATAATATCAACAACAACGACAACAACAACAAAAGCAACAACAACAACTTTCCCTTGTCCATACCACCATACATCACTATCAGCTAAAAATACACACACCCTTAAATACCCTCTTTTACACAATCCAATACATACTTTCTTCAGACTTCAACCTTTTTAGCCTATCTTATTTATTCTATACAAACAATAAAATTGGAGTGTCTGTTTGTAATGATGATGTATTTGCGTTGCTGATTAATAAAATCGCATTTTTTTTGTCTGTCTGTCTGTCTGTCTGTCCGTCCGCAAGCCGCGTTTGTTCCGGGTAACCTCAGAAACGCTTGGGCTGATTTTGACCTGACTTTTAACGGTAGCTGATATAGACGGCCATGTTACAGGCTACTTTTCTTATCTTAATATTGGGTGGACGATGTCGCGGGCAACAGCTAGTAGTTATCTAAAGTCCATTATTGTGTTACAGCATCACGAGCAAGTGCAGAAGTATAGCAGCACGCTGGAGACGCTGCTGTTCACGCAGGACCTGGACCCTCACATCCTGGATGTGTTCCACCAGTTCGTGGCGCTCACCGCATAACCCCCAACGCCCTCCAACCCCCAAAAGACTGCAAACCGTACGCAGGATATGGATACTGTGTTTTATAGTGAATTGTGACATTGTGAATGTTATTATAACGGTCAAATATTGAAACGAATCTTAAATGTTATAAAGAAGAAAGATTTATATTTTTGTATGTATTGAAATTACTCAAAAATTGGACAGATTAAAAATATCTTTCATTGTTAACAAGCTGTATAATATCATAGGCATAAATTTTTTAATTCAACTCGGATGAAATTGCGAAAAAAGTAAGTCAATACTACGCTTCGTAAGCGACACTTAGAGCGGGCGCACTCATTTGACTAAAATATCGCACAATAGTTGTGCGATTGTCGATTGCTTCGCAGCCAATTCAACTGTTTAGTTGCACAACTAAAAATCGAGTAGTGTACGCATCTCCATATATGTAAGTTCATATGAATCAAAGCGGACTAAAAAGTTGTGCGATAGTTTAGTGAAAGGTGTGCGCGCTCTTACAATCTGATAGACGTCAAAAGTAAGGAATTATGCGTGGTCTTAACAATGTTACATGTTTAAATGGCGTTTCAGTATTCGGCCGTTAGTGTGCTAATTTAGTTTATTTATAAATGAAAGATCTTATCTAAGATTTCTTCGTATCATTTGTATTGTTATTCTAAAGTTTCATAATATAATTATTCTTCATAAAAATGCTAAAACAACTATGGCAGAATATTTTGTGGTATAAGATAAAAACAGGCTATAACTCGTTTAAAATGTTGCATGAAATAAAAATTTCTGCTTAAAAAGAAAATCTTTAATAAATAATATTCCATATAATTCTGCTATGTTTTGAATGATGTGAATTTGAAATAGTTAAATATTGGTTTTTGTTAGTATTAAGGTCGAAAACAGGATAATAAATTTGCATTGTTATTAGAATATAAACTAACTAGAATGTATAGAATTCTAATGAAAATAGTGTTTAAAGTGTGATTATTTTAAGATTACTATTACCACTTAGATTACAGGCGCAATTATAGATGCATTGTCTACGTAATAACGGAGAAAACGCAAAAAAAGAATATTTTATTTTTCTATGCACTCCTCCGTCAAATCTACTTCCCCTTTCCACTCTACGAAAATGATGGACAGAGAAAGGACTAGAAGTTATTTAAAGTGTTTCTACAATGAAAATGTTGCAGAAAATAAAAAAAATGTCACTGTCATACAATTGTCAGCATTTAGGAGGAAATAAAGATTACCGACTGTTATAAAATTGAGTTTTATTTATGTAAAAACCCGTTTTTATTTTTTTTTACTTTTTAAAAGTAGCTTATGTTCAAACTATGTTCTACATCTGTGTTTAATTTCATTGAGGTCTGTTTATCCGTTTTGGTAATAAGAAAGTAACATCAGCCATCCAAACTTTCTTTTCGGATATCAGTGTTTACACCTACAAAAACATAGTTTTAACCAAAAATTTGAGAAATATATAGACATTGTGACCATTTTTTCATCGGTACTTTTTAGGAACGCCTTACAAGGCTATACAAGTTTTAGATTTTTTTAATACATACAGAAATAAAAAATCCAAATCTTTCCTATTTATTATATAGTATAGAAATATATTTTTTTTTATAAGAAAAGGGGGCAAACGAGCTGCGAGAACAGAAAGGTGATCAATGACGCCCAGACATCCTCAACACCAGAGGAACTACAGATGCGTTGCCTTTGAAGAAATTGTAGGCTCGCTTCTTGAAGGATCCTAAGTCGTATTGGTTTGGAAATACCGCCGAGGACAGACCGTTCCACAACGCGGCTGTGTGATTTCAAAGAGAAATGAATTAAAACAACTTTTAAGACTAGTATCAGACTTTATTAGGAAAAAATAGACAACAATATTTCATATAACAATGGAAAAGTTAAGCCTTTAAATGTTTCATAAGTTCCTCGACGTCTAACTTAGAGCCGAGGTAGCACGGCGCGCGCTGGTGGATGTTGGTGGGCTGCACGTCCAGTAAGGGGACTTGGCCGTTAGAGGCCAAACCTCCAGCCTCCGATACTATGAACGACATCGGAATGCACTCGTAAAGAAGACGCAGCTGGAAATTAAATATTGTTTTATACAAATGAGAAATTATAAACAAATCTAATTTTTTTTCAAGGCTGTAATTACAGGATTTTTTTTCAAAAATTTCCACAAAAATACACAAAAAATATGTACATAAATTACGCGACGTTCTTAGGGTGAAGGAAAATATCGTGATGCAACCTGCACATATCGGCGAAGAAATTCAAAGATATGTGTGAAGTCAACCAACCCGCAGTGGGCCAGCGTGGTTGACTATGGCCTAGTCACTCTAACTTAGGGTAGGCTCCGAGCCCCTCGGTGGGGACGTATAGTGAGCTGGTGATGATGATGATGATGATGATGACACAAAAAAATGATATCATGAATGGAAAAGTGTTATGATAATTTCTCATATCAATTAAATTCGAGTATACTATTGTTATAAAACTAGCTTTTGCCTGTGACGGGCGCGCGAAATTGAAAAAACAGAACCAGCCTATGTGTTAAGTGTTCTTTAACTATGCCAAATTACATCGAAATCCGTTGAACAGTTTTTGGAGGTACGAAATAAAATCCATCTGAACTGTCACATTTATAATATTAGTAAGAAAGAAGATTATTTGAAATGAAGCAATAAAATCTATAAGGACACAAAGTATATTTTGCGGAAATTTGATTTACAGATGTAAAATGTACTGTGCCCATATGAAATAAGCCAATAAATACTTACTTTCCCGTTAGGTGCGGATTTAGTGGCAGGATACATGAAGATGCCGCCATACTTGATAGTCCTATGCACGTCGGCAACCATAGAGCCGACATACCGCGCGCCGTACGCTTTGCCGCTCGCGGGACGCTTCTTAGACTCTATATAACTCTTCAAACCCTCCTCCCATTCCGCTGCGTAACCTACAAATGTTTGATTGCTGTTATTTTCTTCATAGATGTTCTGATATACTGATCCTATAGCTTTAAATTAAAATATATAATAAAATAACGGAAGCTGGAAAGCTAAAAATTATAGTCAAATCAAACCATTATTTCACAAAAACAAAAAGTTTGAAATAAGCCAGATTACAGTGATTTGAAACATTTTGTTCATAATCAAGAGTATCAAAGGAATTTAACTTCACATATAGGCTTGTTAAACTAGACTTTTGACCAAGTAACTTAAACTAGTATAATATATTATTTATGCTAGGGGCAACAAACAGTTACAATTTGATTCTTTACAAGTCTTTAGATACATTTATACAAGAAAAACATATATAAACATGATTTCATACCTTCATTAATGGAATAGATGTTCCCCTTCTCAGGTATTCTCATATTAGGGTCGGTGAGTATGAATTCCCCGAGCGAGGGATCGTACATGAAGCCGTTAACCCCCCGCCCCCGGCCTAGCGCCAGCACCATCATGGTAGCGGAGCCATACAGCGCGTATCCCGCGGCCACCACCTCGCGCCCCGGACGTAACGCGTCAGACTCCGATGGCTCCCCTGATGATGTCTTTCTACACACGATGTTTAGTTACAATAGTTTAAAAGTACAGTTATGCACCGCTGGCGGGGTAGCCGGACAGTTTCAGACCTCGCCCCAAGATCTAAACCAGCCAACTACAATCACTTCCACAACTCATTGACGGACTATTATTGCCATTCTCTTTGCTGTTTTATGTCAATCTGCCATTATTTCTTTAAGCGATAACTAGCAGGTCTAGTTTAAATTTTACTATCTTTCACCAGCGATTCCGTTCGCGTGGAATTGAAAAAACAAAAGCATGTAGCCTACGAGTTCTTCTAGACTATATACATCTATGACAAATTTCATCGATATCCGTTCAACCGTTTAGGCTACGAACTCTAACAAACATCCATCCATCTAAACTTTTGCATTTATAATAATATGATTATACTGTCTACTTAACATATTAGGGTCCTTCGAGCCGGATAAAAATTTTACTTAAACTAACAGTCATATTATTTTAATGGTGAAAAAGTTCTTTAACTAAATATTAAGGGACTATGAATAACCGTTAAACTGGCATTGAAAAATAGCACTACATATACTTACTTATAAATACAGAAGATAGATCCAACGGAGACAAGACAGTCGATGTTAGAGGATCCGTCGAGAGGGTCAAAGCACACCACGTATTTGCCGCGTCTCTCGCTTTCCACCTATATACGACATTTTATCTTAAGCCAGCAAAAAAACAAGCAAAGGTAACGATAAAATCCGGCGTTAGCTTTCAGTTTTTTTCATGTTAACTATCATATAAACTAGCCTTCTCCCGCAACTCCGTCCGCGTTGATTTAAACAAAAAAAATGAATAGCCTATGCGTTCGTCCAGGCTTCTCTACATCTATACCATCATCGAAACCCGTTCAGTTCTTTAGGCTACAAACTCTAACAACCATTCCAATCCATTCATCCACCTAAACTTTCGCATTTATAACATTAGTATGACGTATGATCGAACAAAGAATACGTCAAACATATTTTTATTGATTACATTTATAAAAGAAGTTACACAAATAAAGACTCGATAAAAGAGCAAAGTGCATTCGGGTCGTTGTTCAAACGATGTCCGATATGTTCAATGTTATCAAATATATTCCATTATCTCCAATGTTAAGGGGACCTTTATTAAACAATCGATCTATTTGTCGACATACAATAATGTCTTCTTTATACAAAAATGTTATGGTGAATTTACACTGTCGTAATACCTTTAATGTTGCTAGCCCTCTCATTTTCTTCGAATAAAGCAGAGATGTCGATATATTTTATACAGGTGTGTATACGATAGTTGAAATTCGCGATTACGCTACGATTTTGAATTTGGAACCTATTCTTGAAGTCTAACTTTTTTATTAGTATCATATATTATAATTTTAATTTTTATCTCCAAATTAAAAATTGGGTCGATCGTTTCACCGATCATTTCCCATAGAATTAATCGGCCCAATGGGAACACTCCATGAATGAATTCATGTAAATAATTGCACTCACCTCTATAACTGAAGAGTTTTCTTCGGAAACCAGTAGACATGTTGTGAATGAAGATTTAAGAACGTTTATAAACAAGTCATTTGATAAAACATCTAGTTTCTTCACTTGTTCGCCTTGGACGTTAGTGTCCCCAGAGATACCATGCCTAAACAGAAATGCTGTTCATTATTTTTTCTACATTTAACTGCCCCACTCACAGCTTTATTGGACCCTTACTTTTAGTATGTGAAATCTGCACAACCCGATTATTTGTAAATATTTGGAAACAAAGTCTATTTATTCATTATTTATTGCAAGTCATTGCATTAAGATAAACAGCGAAACGTAATTTCGATTATTTCAATATAAAAAATCATATCCTAAATATATTTTATTATGTGTAATAAAAAACTATTGTTACTTTAAATTAATATAGTTGAATGTACTCACAGTTTAGCGATTCCGGCTTTCCTTACCGCCGATTGTATAGCCTTGACTGCTGTTTGTATAGAATTGAGAAGGTAAGTCAGGTCGCCAGTGGCTTCAGGAGCTGTTCTTTGCTGAGCCAAGACCCATCTGGTCAAGGTCATAGCATTCACATCGAAAGCCGGTCCTTGTTGTGTCATTTTTTTAATATTTTTAATCTATCCAACAAAGATGGCGGCGCGCGCGCTCAGCTGACGCCGTTCAACTGAGCGCCGCTAAATGTTTTACGAAACTGTAAAAGCGTTATGACGCTATCTATTCGAACATTTCATTATATCAATATGATGTAACATTTGTTATTTTTATTCGTAATCTACAATCCACTTTTGAAGGCTTGGCATTTTGATTTGAATAATTTATAAAGTTGTTTTTGAATTGGTCTAAACCGGATTGTAAAAATGGGTGTGTGCGGACGAAATGCATAATTAAATAGTTTGTACGCAAGTGTGGAGTAGGAATTAATATTTAAAGAGTAAATACAATAGAAATACTCTTATTGGAATATCTTCATTTATTAAGTTTAGCTTTTTAAAGTACAGTGAAATGAAATGACACATTAGTATCGTTTTTTATTTACTTCTTACAATTAGAGGTTAGGAATATATCATAAAAACCACGTAGTTTTTCGTTTCTTCGACCAAAAAATGGGCGTGTACGTGACGTAATACACAAAACGAATTGCTGTATATGTTGTTGATCATAAAACAAGTTTTTTTACCTTGACTTTTAATCAGTTTCTTCGACATGTCTTGATAATAGTCAAACAGATTGTATTCGTTTTAAATGGAATAATTTATAGAGATATTTTGTAGTGACGGGTAGGAAATAAAATAAAATGTAGGATAGAAAAAAAAAACTTAATTGTGGAACCTTTATTTATGAACAACAGATATTTTTACAATCAAATAAACAGAGGTACAGTTTGGAATGTTAAGTTTGTGACGTGCCAGCGTACTTTGTTTCCATAAACACGCCATTTTTACCAGAATTTATTAGAATAATATGACAAACGTTTTGTTACGCTACTCAAAAAGTTACATTGGAACATGCAAAACTAAAAAAAATTAAAAAAAAAAACAATTCTTTATAAATTTATTTTTATGTGCTGATTTAAAATTATATTATTTTTTGGTATTTCTAAACCGAAATGATTTTAATTATAGGAAAAATAAGACTATAAAGAACACCAAAGGGTAAATTAAAAAAAATTGTGCGAAAATATTACTGTAAAAATATTTAAACAGCTACCATCTACATCACAACAGTGGAACGTTAATTTACTTAATTAAAAAATCACATAGCCTTGATCTTTAACTTAAAATATGAGGGAATGAAATGACAACCACAAAAATTAATTACAACTTATATCTACGCGGCATAGCCCCGGCGTCAACGCGTTTGCGACGTATTGTTTTTTTCTATAATAATATTCAGATATCTTAGCTCTTCAGTATAACCATGACATTGAACCGTCAAGACAGTTGAATAGACCCCTAACTTTATGTTATTGTTCACTTAGATTAAGTTCTCATAAGTCGCTTTCACGTTGACACACGAGCCCTTCTTCGAGATATTACCGAATCTTCAAACAAAATTCTATCAAAATATTAACATCTTTGGATTTTCTAAATGCGAGAGCCGTTTGGACGGAATCATATTAGAAATATGGCTAGAAACAATTAAACATCAATATAAAAATATTTATAAGCCAACTATATTTTAATTTTATGATTTGATCGCATAATAATTTTAAATCCAAAATTGACAAGGCTTCAAGCCTGATTTGGTCAATGCACCTTTATATTAGCTTATTTAAGCCAATGTCTTAAAAATAAGTAGCACAAAGTGTAAATATTTGGAATTAATCACTGGAAAGCACTTATTAGTTATTCCGTCATCTCTTGTCATTTAATCATTAATAAGGGATAAATTCTCTTCCGATATCTTCTCTAAGCATTTACTATTCAAAGAAGTCAAATTACAATTAGCAATATCTTCTTCTATCTCCCTTTCGAGTATCTCGAAGTCGTCATTCTCCGAATATTTCAAACATTCGTCCGAAGATGAGTCCTGATAGCTCATAACATTTTCAATATTCACTTCAACCTCCTCATTTTTCCTATCCTTCATAATCAACGAAGGACTACTATTACTTAAAACGCGGCTCTCTTTAGTTATTCTGGGAAAGAAATCTGATTTAGGTCTCGCTTTGTTTTCTATACGTTTCCTTATTGGTCGTTTATCTTTGGGTATAACACGTTGTATGCGTTCCTCTATTAATGATATGCTTCGTTTGAATACAACTGTATCTTGTGGTCCATTTTCCCTCAAACCATCGATGGCGTCCCTCGATTCTGTATCGGAATTATCACATCTGAAGTAAATAGTATCACAGCCGTTTTCTTGCTTCACTTTTATAAGACAGCAATCGTCCTCTTTTTCACAGAGTATCTCATGTAAAGAGCCATGCAGAGGGATCAGTTTCACTTTACCGCCAAAGTTCTCTTGCATCTGTGTGGATAGATCGTCATCTATGTACAAGTCTTCGGTACTTCGAGCTTCCTGTGAATTGAATAAACAGTACTAAGCATTTGAGTTGACACATGAGCCCATAGAGTACTCATACTTCCGACGTGCCAAAACATAGTCAAAAGTAAATGTACCATCTGAATTATCAGAGAATTTTATAGTTTTCAGTAGTCCCTAAATTTTAACAACCCATATAATATACAAAAAAAAATAAACCAGGTGTTACTGAACTAGCGTAAAATTAAAATACCGTAAAACATCTATGTTATTCAGCGAAAACGTAGCTTTTTAATGCTGATAGAATTTTTTAAATCTGCTTAGTAGTTTTTGAGTTATTTTAATACATACAAAAATACAAATCGTTCCTCTTTATTTTAGTATAGATGTAATTTATATACATTTATTAGTATAGATATGGAAATTAAAAAAATAAATCGATATTCAAATTACCTGAATAGCATTAAAAGCTTGGCATCTCTTCAACGAATTAACTTGTATATCTTCGAGAGGTATCTCTTCTTCCTGGATTTTGTCTTTACCCGGGTTAGGATCACATATTGTCACATTTACACAATTATCTAGAACTTGTAGACTATTCTCTCCAGATCTACTGAAAGTTATTTGTAGTAACGGTTTATTGTTACCGTTAATTTTAACCCTGGAAAAAGATTTAACGGTTTCCTTCTTAGATTGTTCCGTTTCTGCATTCAAGCCTTCGAGAACATTCGACACGCCTTTGTTAAGTATTTCCTCACGCGCGGTCGAATCTTCGAAATCTTCGTGATTCTGGAATTCTTTTCTGATCAGTTCTCGTATGAACTCTTCGATACTTCGCGTGCTGGTAGACTGGTCTACCTTTGGTTCTTTAACGTCAAACGAACTTGAAGACCTACAATATTATTGAATTGTATAAATTGACATATTAAATAAATAATGAAAAAGCAATTAGCTAATAAAAGTTAATAGAACAAGCGATGTAGTTGAATTTCCCAGTGCCTAAATGTACAAAAACATTGTCATCTCTCTTACTTTCTAATAAAAAACAGAGACAGCATTACTTTTGTATATAAGCGGAAATTCACGGTAATGAGCGGATTACATTTGGCCAGTATAGTTAGACAGTTGCAATCGCCATAGATCACTGGCGCCAGTTATACTGACAAAAACAACCCAGTTATTGAGCGCTACTGTACTGGCCTAGTGATACCACGCACAATAGTTTTAACCCCCACTTCGGCGTAATTTTATGTAACAAAAAAACTGATCATTTTAGTAGCATATTTTTGGATATGAAACAAGTTCATTTTTTTAATTGTTTGTCACACTGGTCAATACTTGTATTAGGTATTAGGGGTAATGGTATTAGGGGTAATAGTATTAGGGGTAATCGTATTAGGGGTAATGGTGTGTCAAGCGAGGACAAGCATAAACAAATAATGTCACCCTCTACTGCTGTCTCTCTTCCACGTATGACAACTGTCAGTATCGAATGCGAAGTTGACACTCTTCGACATCCCGCCCGAGTGGCATAACTGATCCCATGGATGACCTGAAATGGTTAGCGTAAACACTATTTATTTATTTATAAGGTACACCAATTGCATGTTCAAAATTCACAACCAAATTAAGTATATTATATACAAAAAAAAACAAAAACACTAAACATATGAATTTTCTTCGATTTCCCAAAGGTAGGTTGCGTTAGGATTTTTGTTTCTGAAATAGTAAACATTAACGAAACATCACCTGTTATCGCGAATAATTCTCTGAAAAATATCTCAATTTTGAACAGTATACAATATCACAAATTAGAATATAGTCAAAACAGAATCATTCTTCTAAAAATAATACCAAACATTAACAGGACGTAATTTATTTTGTCAATTTTAGTTATTTGCTGTTAATAATGACAAATATTAGACCCACATAAAATATATATCTACCATAACCTTCATATTAAAATTATTAAGAAAACATTGTATGAACTATAAATGTTAGTAAATTAAACCCAACCATGCAAAACAATTATTTATTACCACTAAGTAATGTGCACACAAAAGCTTAAGCATACAAATGAGTTCTGTCAAAATATGTTAAAAAAAACATAAACCTCATCCTTACATACTATAAAAAAACAGAGTTAAAAAGTTATTTAGAAAAGAATCAGCTAAGGATAAGCTATTGTTATAAGTGAACTTAAGTTAGTGAAAACAAGCCTTAAATATAAAATTGTGCATAGAACAAAGCAATGATCCAAAAATCGTATCTAATGAAGTGATTCTTAGCAAGAAACCGAAATGAAAAAAAAAATAATCTGACCAGAAATATAAACCCCTCGTCATATTGCAGATAAACATGGAACGATTTCTTTACGTATTAGAAAATAATAAAGAAGCCGATTCAACCCCCCACCCCCGGGGTTTTTAAATTTTTGGTTCTATAACCTTATTCCTATTACAAACTACATACTTAGTTAAAAAAAGATAGCTTAATTTAAAACACAAGAATTATATTTTTAAAGGAATAATATCTAAAAATAATTATTTAAAATAAAAATAAACGCACATTAAGCATATTGTGAATTATTTCTCAAACATAACAATAACCAAATTCTTCATTAATCTTAATAATATTAAAAATTTTAAACACCAATCAATGACAATCACACAAATACAATAAAAATGACAAATATTGAACAAAACATTTCTTAGGTTATAATTCTTTTACATGTTTCGTTAATACTAAAAAAAAGTGCATAGCATACATACAGCCTTACAAAGAATACAAAAATCTATTCTAGAAAAGTCTGAATCGCATTTATTATGCACATTTAAACATTATGTTCAGATTTTTTATATTCTTGTTAAACCAAACCAAGCGTGCAACCCTTAGTGTTAATTAAGTATGAGAAATGTAGACTTAGTAAATGTGGATGTGGGATTTAGAACAAAATTTGCCAAAACAGCATCATATTCCTTTAAAATTAGATATAGCAATAACTAGTATGTAATATGATATTTATGTTTACATTACTAAGGATTTAATTCGGCAAATGCTTTCCACTGATCTATATTAAATGGATAGGCGATGAGATAGAAAAAGTTTTTGCTTCGTTCCCACTTTTACTGTTGATAATATTGAGTTTAAATTATCTGTATTAGAATTTTCCCCACCATATCACTCGAAATCGATAATTTCAAATCGGAGAAAACTGAACAGACAGAAAGTACCATGTATTAATTTCACAGTAAAAATATGACAAAAGACAAAGCGGCTGCTTAAATTCGTCAAATAGCGAAAGCAACTGCTCATAAACCTTTTTAAAGATGTGTTGCATTCCTTTAATCAACAGAGAGGACACAGAAACATTCCCCTTACACATGCGTCAAATCCCCAAATTGTACGAATATAATAGAAATAGGTAGAAGAGTAATTAAAAAGGATAATATATGGCATATCCAGTAAATATAGATCAGTGCATCACTGACCGTTCTTGTTAGTGGTGCGGGGAGCGCGGGGCGGGCGCGGCGCGGGGCGGGGCAGCGCGCTCGCTGATGACGTCATCGCTACGCAGTGGGATGCCGGCTTCATTGCACGTACTTCACTCCTATAAAAACACAATAGCCTATGAGTTCTTCCATCCTCTACATCTATACCAAATTTCATTGAAATTCTTTCAGCCGTTTACAAACATCCATCTATCTAAAATTCGCATTTATAATATTAGTATGAGTAACTTTTGCCTATTAAGTAACTTTCGCATTCATATTTGAAGTACGATCTATACATGATGTATTTAGGTTGCTTACGAATACACGTTTTTTTAGTTTTGTATTTCTATCTGTCTACAAGTCTATGTTTTTCAGAATAATATTTGAAACGGCTAAAATTGTCTGAAAAGTAGCTCATGAATGCGGGTATAATATAACCTGTTTTTTCTTTTTTTTCCTTATACATCCAAATGTAGATAAATGAAAAATATTATGAGAGTCAAATAAAATCGTAATATTACGACTATTCTATTACTGTCCTTATATATATTATTGGACAGAACTATGTACGATATCATGATACAAAGATAAGAAAACTTTGAGAAACGCCGCAACAATGATTTTGATTTAAAATGACTTGTATTTTACTTAACAGATAACAATTCTTTAAGATAGTGGTCGAGGTTTTTATCCATTGGTCCTATAGAAGGCTCTTTTATTAAACAAATCTTTATTTATTACTAGCTGTTACCCGTGACTTTACGCGGAATTAAAAAGTAAGTCTATATATTTCCCCAGGCAGTGTTCAACACCTATACCCTTTTTTAAATAGAGAAGATTTTTAGTTAATTTACTATTTCTTTTACTATTCCAACTAAACTCGTAAACTTGTGCTAAGGTTTACAACTAATGGAATGGCGGAATTCGAACCCTTGACCACATGACCACACCACCCTAACCTAGGTTATCGGTGCTTTTATCCAGATCTTACAAACATCCATCCATCCATCCATACATTCAAACCTTTAACTTTAAATATTAAGTTTCTTACTTATTATCATCAGGCAGTGACATAGATCTCGTGGTCTTCCTATTAGCTTCATATATCCATCGCTCGTGTATGGCGACCAGCGGCTTCACGTTCACATTGGCCAGCTCCTCAGCCTTGTTCTTCGAGCTGGTCTTCGGAGACCTCAGAGACCACGAGCTGGCGCGAGGACGCGGCTCTTCGGCGAGGAAATCAAGTGGCGGCTCCACCCTGGAAACATATATAGAAATAATTTAATAAAATGCAAAAAATAATTAAAAAACACAATTGCCTTTATACTAACTTTTAAGCTAATAACAATTTGTATTTTAAATACTAAGCCATGATCAAGAATACATTTGAAATGTTACAAGAATAAAATTGAATACATTATGAAACTTCGCTGGAACTAGCTGTTCCCGTGCGGTTTCATCCGCATGATATTATAAAAACTTTATTACGACCACTGCCCATGAACAAATAGCCAATATTCAGATGCGTTACCTACTCTTAATCGCCGGAGGATATTACTCTTTCTCTTCTTATGCGTCTCCTCCATCGTCAAATTTACTTTCTCTTCACATCCTGTCCTTATAAAAAAGGTGGAAAGAGAAAAGACTAAAATTAGGCCTCCAGCACGCAGAAGGTTCTGATCTCCGCTCCGGTCTGTGAAGGTCTGTTCTTCACTTTGGTCTGTGAAAATTTGCTCTCCACTCCATTCTTTAAAGGCCTACTCTCCACTCTGGTCTGTAAAAGTCTATTCTCCACTCCGGTCCGTAAAAGTCTATTCTCCACCTCGGTCTGTAAAATTCTATTCTCCACCTCAGTCTGTAAAAGTCTATTCTCCACTCCGGTCTGTAAGTCTATTTTCCACTCCGGTCTGTAAAAGTCTATTCTCCACCTCGGTCTGTAAAAGTCTATTCTCCACTCCGGTCTGTAAAAGTCTATTCTCCACTCCGGTTTGTCAAAGTCTATTCTCCACCTCGGTCTGTAAAAGTCTATTCTCCACTCCGGTCTGTAAAAGTCTATTCTCCACTCCGGTCTGTAAAAGTCTATTCTCCACTCCGGTTTGTCAAAGTCTATTCTCCACTTCGGTCTGTAAAAGTCTATTCTCCACTCTGGTCTGTAAAAATCTATTCTCCACTTCGGTCTGTAAAAGTCTATTCTCCACTCCGGTCTGTAAAAGTCTATTCTCCACTCCGGTCTGTGAAAGTCTATTCTCCACTACGGCTTATAAAAGTCTATTCTCCACTTCGGTCTGTAAAAGTCTATTCTCTACTCTGGTCTGTAAAAATCTATTCTCCACTCCGGCCTGTAAAAGTCTATTCTCCACTCCGGTCTGTAAGTCTATTCTCCACTCCGGTCTGTAAAAGTCTATTCTCCACTTCGGTCTGTAATAGTCTATTCTCTACTCCGGTCTGTAAAGGTCTGTTCTCTACTCCGGTCTGTGTGGGGATACTTACCGTTTAAGTCCGGTGTAGCTGTCTCTGGTTGTGTGGTCCGAGTCAGGCGAGCAGGCGGCGTGCGGGAAGGGCGGGGAGCGTGGCGGGCTGGCGGGCTTCGAGCACGAACTTTCCGCGTCCGCTTCGTTACCAGACCCCAACCCTAGCGGAGATGTTTGAGTCTCTTTTTCATATGCTGAAATGTTAAAAAAGTCACATCTTATGCCGGAATCTATAACTCAGTATTATTAAAAACTATATTCTATAAGGAATTGTAATACTGATTAGACTGATAAAGTGAATTTTAATACTGATTTTGTATGTGTCAGGCCACGGAAATAAAATAATTCGCTAGACTTATTTGTTATATTGGTTGAAAATTAATTTACGTTTAATCTAAAAATTAGAAAGTTAAAATTGTGCTAAAAAGTAATTGATTATACGTTTTTAACGCATCATATAGCAATTTACACAATCATAATTTATAGTTATTAAAAACTTTAAAAAAACTAGGTAAACTCACCTTCTTTGACTGAAGTATTTTCCCGGACTTTCTCCGCACTTTTCTGTCCACTAAAATCACCAGAGAGCCAGGCGTTCTTCCTCAATTTGTTACTCCTAGCTATAGGCGTTGCGGGCAAACTGTAGTGTTTTATATCGAAATTATACGAAGATCTTTCATTACAATCATTATCTTTGACAATAGCTTTAAGAGAATCCAATTTAAAATCAGGTACTTTAATATGCAAAGGTTTGTAAGACTGCGGAGTAAAACTGCGGCTTAATTTGGTTGAACTTTTATCTTTAGTATCACTGCATGTTAGATTAAAACCTCTTGTATCTGGACTTAGAATACTGCAATATTCAGTTGAATCACTTTTATGTAACACGGGTGTAACTAATTCTTTGACTCTTGGTTGTTTAGCTTGAACTGGTGTTGAACAAACACTTGAGAAGTCATTATCTGGTAGATGTTGGAATTTGAGGAATGGTTGTAAGTTGTCTGTGGCCGTTTCGTCTGATATGAAACTCTCTGGTTGTTTGATTGTTTCTATTTGTGCATGTCTCAATGTTTCGTATGGGCTGGTTAGTGTTTGCGAGACTGTCTCTGATGTATTATGCGGTTGTTGGTGTATCCTAGCACTGGTACAATCGGAATCAGTAGGAGAAGTGTCCCAACTCTGGTTGCTAAAGTTGGATATTGTTTTAGGTAATTTCGTCGCTATTATGATATACTCCATATCGTCAAGGTCACTCTGAAATTAAAGTTTAAATGAAATAAATAAAAATGGTAAGGAAGACATGAAAAAATATCTTACTAATATTATAAATGCGTTTATATGGA